CCTGATTCCATGAAAGGTTTATGTTGCACTTGGATCACATGTAAATCTTAATATAATTTCCTATATCTAAAATATTCCCATGCACATAATCAAATTAATGTAATGTAATATGCATATTTTAAATGTATTTGTCTTTGTATATGTAAGATTATGTACTATGTACCTTATTTGTATATGGCCTTCATACGTATATGTACCTCAATTGTAACATGCTGTATGAACCAAAAATATTATTGTATGGCAATGTACTATCTGCCAAGGCCCTTGTATGGTACTGTATTTTAAATCGGTGACTGGTGTCAGGGGTTCATGTGGCCCCTCACCCTTCCCCATACCATCTTGGGGTGCTCTAGACAAGAGGGACGCGGCGCTATACCAATTAACCGCTATGGTAGAGGGGTGGTGCTAGCGTCCTCCGTCACTTATGACTTATCACTTACAGCATTCATGATATTGTAGTTTTTCCAAAACTCTCTTATTGATTGTTTCTCTTTTCCGTCTGTTTTCTGAAACACTTGTCTAAATGTTCGCCGCAGGTAATAAACCTTAAAATTTGGATCCATTTGTTGGATTAAGGCAGTTATGTTAGGCGGCAATTAAACCACTTCGACTGGAATGCATGTTATTAAATCAGATAAATTCGCTGGATGTCTTAGAGCATTATCAATTAAAAGTAGTGCCCTGGAAAATGAACCCTGGACAAATAAATTATACCAGTGTACAATAATCCCCTCCACGATTGGAACGTTGTTAAATCAAAATAACAAAATGAACACTCATAAGGTATTTCTCTCACCTTCTTGGCGTGCCTTGGTGGTGTAGTGGTTCTGCACGCTGGGCCGGTATTCCAGAGGTCCGTGGTTCGATTCCTGGCGAAGACGATTGCTCATTTTTCATCTCTCCAGCTTTTCCAATTAATCTAATGTCTCTACAGTGACGCCTGAACTTAAAAGGTGATGGATGATGACTCTTCACACCCAGGATTTGGCGATTGGGTCCCATAAAAACCGCAGTCGTCCTTTAAAAGGGGGAGTATATAAGGTATTTCTCCCACCTACCTTCTTGGCGTGCCTTCGTGATGTAGTGGTTCTTCACGCTGGGCAGATATTCCAGAGGTCCGTGGTTCGATTCTCGGCGAAAGCGATTGTTCATTTTTCATCTCTCCGGCTTTTCCAAATGTCTTTACAGACTTTTTAAATAATAGTGAACTTACTCTATCTGTAAAAATTATGGAAGGGAAAAATAGCTTTCATATTTGAGAAATTTCAAAAAATGTCATAATTAGTCAAATGAGAAATAAAGTGAACATAAATATGCATATAAATGGGATAAAAGGACTTCAGGCATAGTTTGGCGTATTTTTGGATCAAATGCCTTTTTTTTTTTTTTTTTTTTTTTTTTTTCTTTTGATGGCGTCTGTTCGTGGTCATTTAAAAAGCTGGCTGCGTAATATTTGGCAGGCTGAAATTTTTAATATGTACAATAAATGTGGACCATTTCTTGAAAACATCGTTTTAAGAAGAAATAAATATTACAATGAATATTTATATGAGACTTTATAAAGGGAAAAATGTATTTGATTCAGTAACCTTACTAAAGCATCAGTTACACGAAAGCCCATTCCGATAACTTCATAATTTATATATATAACTAAATACGTTAACATAAAATATTATTGAGACATCAAATGAAATAAAAATTATTAAAATACTTTCTAAAAATTGATGATTGTTGATTTCGGCAAAGGAAAATAAGAAATCTTAAAAATATGATTTAAGAAGAAAGAAACATTAAAATAAAAATTTTAAGTAATATTTTGCGAAAACAAGATACATTTGATTCAGTGACGTTACCCACACTTACTAAGGGATCAAATTTTTAAAAAGCCCAATTCGGACAAAATATATTATATATTTTCTAAGTATGTTAATCCAAATGGTATTTAGACATTAATTAAGATGGAAGATATTCAAATATATTTCGGAATTATTATATTTTTTGTGCAGGGGGAGGGGTGAATAATGTTTTTGGGAGTTATCTTCCTGTTTGTGCAGCTTTCAACATTATTCCCATTTATTTTAGCAAATTATTTTTCAACCTTACTTTTCTGGTACTGATTTTTTAATACTGCATGAAATAATATGCAAATATCTCTCTACTTTCTTAAGATTAGGAATTAGCAGGAAAAAGTACTGTCACATGTAAAATTTGCTTTAATATTGATCTTTTGTTTGGTTAATTACTTCTATTTTTTTCTTTTTCATTCAAAATTCCGTTTAGGAAGTTTTAACATAAAATAGTTTGTAAATCCTAATACACTTAATACTATTAACATAAAAATCCTCATTAGCATAAAAACCCTACTCGCGCTTATTCTGGTCGGAAATGAAAAATAAGAGAGGTAGCAAAGTTTAAAATAAAAAAAAAAGATAGTAAAACTTAAAATCCTTATAACCTGTGCAAACTTAATCACCTCTCTACTGATCAAAATGCATTAATTGCTGATCTGTGGAACTTGGATACTCTAGGCATCGGGGGTTCTGTTGAAATAAAATCTAAAGAAGAGTCACATCAGATAATTATGCAACAGTTCCAGCGAACGGTGAGAAGGGATAAAGAAGGTTGGTAAATCGTGAAGCTGCCTTGGTTAGAAGAACATGAGATTTTGTAAGAAAATAAATTGGTTGCAGAGTGTAGGCGAACATCAACTGCGGAGAAAATTATTAAGGAAAGCAGATATGCAGATTATGATGCTGTTTTCTAGGAATGATTTGCGAAGAATATTATTGAAGAAGTACCACCTGAGGATGAAAATCAAATTCCATGCCATTATTTACCCCATCGAGGCGTTTTCAAGATTAACTCCACCACAAGCGTTCGACTTGTTTTCGATGCCTCTTGTAGATCGGGTCATTCTCCATCACTCAATAAAGTTCTAAAGGACGAAACCTCTTAGAGAAAATCCTTCCACTACTACCGAGGTTTCGGGAAAGGTCGATTGGTATCATTTCGGACATAATAAAGGCCTTCTTATAAATTTCTATTGCCGAAGAAAATCAAGATGATTTGAGATTTTTATAGTGGGAGAATTTTGAGAAAAGAAAGTTAATAATTTATCGTCATAAAAGGGTGGTCTTTGGACTCACAGTCCATATCTCTTTAGCTGCAGTCATTAATTTTCATTTGGAGGAATGCCGTGACGATTTTTCAGAAACTGTGCGTAAGATAAAAAATGCCTTTTACGTGTAATATCCTTATCTGATGAAAAGGAATTTTTGCAGTTTACACATGAGGCTAAACAAATTTTAGCTTCAGCACGTTTTGACTTGCGTGGATAGGAATATACTTCTTTAACAGGAGATAAAAGAGGAAAATATCCTCTCGTTCTTGGATTGTTGTGGGATAGGAATAAAGATGGTCTTTTTTGTAACTTAGAAAATGTTTCCTTTGAGAAAGACCCTGTAACAAGAAGAAATATTCATTCAGCTGTCAACAGTATTTTTGATCCCATTGGAATGTTGTGTCCAGTAACCATCTGCATGAAGATGGTAATACAAGAAAACTGGACTCTTAAATTAGGCTGGGATGAGGAACGTTCTGAAAGTGCTTTTAAAAGGTTATCATTGTGGACGGAAGACCTTCATTTACTATCGGAAATTAAAATTCCAAGATATTTTGATCGTGGTGGTTTACGAGAAGGATTAAATCTTTATAGTTTTGTAGATGCTAATAAATCTAGTTACAGCGCAGTTGTATTTCTTCGTAAAGAAAACAGTGATGAAGTCAAAGTTAATTTAATTCAAGCTAAGAGCAGAGTTATTCCCTTGACGAAAGAAATAATTCCTAGATTAGAATTATTAGCGTGTTTTGTAGAAGTACGCATTATATCTTACATTTGAAGAGAAATGAATTTGACAGATTTCCCAACCACATGTCGGACGGATTCTTCAACCTCTTTGTTTTGGATTAAGAATGAAGACAATTGTTAGAAATAGAGAAAGAAAGAATAGTTAGAAATAGAGTTAAGGAAATTTGAAGTATCACTTTAGTGGATTCATGGACACATATTCCTGGCAGTCATAATCCGGCAGACCTTCCCTCCAGAGGTTGTTGTCAACAATTTCTCCTTACATCAAAATGGTGAGAGGGACCAGAGTGGCTAAAGCAGTCCGAAGGCAACTGGCCCAAATCTCAGATTCAAACCAATAGTGAAGAAGTTTACGAAGAGGGAAAGAAGGAAGAAACTGTTTAGTTAACACTTCTTTGTCAGATGAGCTATGGTACTTCCGATTGTTACAGAGATATTTGTGTTACATTATCTGTTACGTTACGTAAAAATACAAAATATCAAATTAATAAATCGAATTTACTTTGTACTTACGTTCAATTTGACTGCCAGGTAGATCTTCACAAATCCAATAATGTGAAGCTATTAGAACACACTTTATTACAGTGTATTTACAAAATATATACATCACCAATAATTTTGTTTTTAGATCGGACCATTTTTTTTCCGTCATCAGTTCTCAACTGTTTATTTATTTCATAGCATCTGCATTGCTCGAGCGCTGTTAGTCAGCGACATCTGTATATCAGCTCGTGGTTTCGTAACAATCTCCCCACCTTGAGTACGATGGAATTGTACTCAACATCACAGAACAAGTCTCTTTGGCTTATGTATTATTCGCCCACTCCTGGAAATAACTGGTGGAGATTTCAGGTCTACTTTGACTCTTCCATCCGGAATCGACTGCAAAACCGTCATTTCGTTTGCTTGTTCACCCATTTCTAAAGGGATAAATATTCTGCACGGGTCTTACTATGTCGCCATTCCTTGTTTTTACTTGAACAACACGAACATGTCCATCCTTTCCTGTATACAGCTTAATTATTCTTCCCAGCTGCCAATCAATCCGTTTACTCTTTTCATTCCCAACCAAATCTATTTCTCCTAATTTCACTTCTTCCTTGATTTTACCCGCTTTCTTAGAATTTTTATGTTATCCTAAGTATTCAGCTCTGAATCTTTTTCTTAAATCTTCTCTGAGTTTTTGACGATACTGCCAACGCTTATTCAGCTCTATTCCATTTATGTGATCAAATTCAATCGTAGAACCTTCTACATTGTCCCTTAAAAACATATTTGAATTTAAAGGCATTAAATCTTGAATGTCTTCCGATATGTATGTCAAAGGACGGGAATTGACGACAGTTTCAACTTCATATAACACAGTGAGTAATTCTTCGTAACCTAGGCTTGTCCTGCCTAAAATACTCTTCAACATGTCCTTTATAATTCTAATTAGTCTTTTCCACCATCCTCCCCACCATGCCGATGTAGGAGGATTAAATTTCCATTTAATTTTCTTAATCGTGGTTTTTCCGTCCACTTCCTTCCAATTAATTTTCTGGAAAAGGTTATTAGTTCCCATAAAGTTAGTACCATTGTCTAAATTTATAATACTTGGTCTTCCTCTCCGAGCTATGATTTTTCTCAGACTTTGCATAAATGCTTCTGGATAGCCCTCGTAGTAACAATTTCAATGTGTATTTCCTTATAAACGGCACATGTAAATATCACTATCCATGCCTTCTTCTGGCATCGAAGATATAAAGGTCCAGCCAAATTGACACCCATAATATGGAAAACTGCAGAGTCTGTTACTCTTTCCTCTGCTAATAGTATGGGGTTCACGTCAAAATTGATTACCTTAAATTGTCTACAGCGACCACAGTTTTTTATTACATGCTGAACTGTACACCAGCATTTGAGAATCCAAAATTGTTCACTCAGAATTTCTGCTAAGGCTTGAATACCTGCATGGGAATTTTTTTCGTGTTTTTCCTTAATTAACAGGTTGGGAGGTAGAATTATCGGAAATGTAAAATCGAATTTTTCTACTGTCGTTTCTCTGAGAGATCTTTGTCATAGTTTGTATCATTCCTTTCTCATCCACAAAAGGTTCCAATGATATGATTGTTTTGTCTTCATGAAATTCAAAACTTTCTTCTTGGATTAATTTTAAAAGAATATTTTCCACTTCTTCATATTCTGCAAAAGTAATATTACCAAAAAAACAATCTTTAGGTAAATTTCTGGCATTTTTGCAGAATCGTTTTATCCAAGCTATCACCTTACTATCTTTTTATATGAAGAATATCTGTTGTAGAATAAATTCCTTGTATTTATAACGTTGGTAGCTGTTATGGCACATTTTCTTATCTCCGAATTTATTACAGATTTGTCAGGTTGCACTAGTTCATAATAAGTGTCAATCCTTAAGTTTTCCTTCAGCCATTCTGGCCCGGTCCACCACTGAGCCTTCACTAGCTGTCGTACTGTACATCCTCTTGAAGCTATATCTGCTGGGTTCTGTGAACCTGAAATGTAATACCAATTATTTATGCTACTTAGTTTTCTAATTTTGTTTACTCTATTGTCCACGAATGTAGCCCAAACAGCTTCTCGTTTAATCCAACAGAGAGCATTGCTGGAATCTGTCCATTAAAAAGGTTTAATATCCGTTAGCTGTAAGTCTCTTCTTACCACTGCTGCTAGTCGAGCACCAATTAGGCAAGCTAATAATTCTAAGCGAGGTATTGTTGTCACTCTCATTAGAGCTATTCTGGACTTAGCTTGCACTAACTGACAATGTACGCCTTCATTATTTTCTATTCTAATAAATATATGTGTAGCATAGGCTATTTTGTTGGCATCACAGAATACGCGCAGACTCCATTTATCAGGTTCATAAATTTGAGAGCGTTTCGCAATCCAACGAGATATTTTAATATCTTCCAATTCAAGAATTTGACTATGCCATAAATTAAACTTCTTTGAAATCTTCTCTAGCACTTTTTGATCCCACGAGAGTTTTAATCTGCAACATTCTTGTAACAATAATTTCGGCAGCAGTATCAAAGGACAAGAGAATCAAATCGGGTCGAAAATCGCTTATGCTAAGGATAAAATTTTTCTTTTCGTTACTAATGGTACTTCTTGAGCAGGAAATTTTTTTGTGTCACAACTGAGGGTATCTTCCTTTACGTCCCATACAATGCCCAATACAGAAATATAATTTGTTGTATTTTCGCTTGCCTTTAAAGAAGTTTCAGTGTCTGAAAATAATCCAGGATCATAATTTTTTTCAGGTGTATTGGACTGCCAGCCCTGAAGCTCAAATTTAGCATCTGACATTATCCGTTTTGCCAAACTTTAAAACTGTCGAAACTGGTCACGCAATTATCGACGTAAAATGATTCTTTCAATTTCCTGGCCGTTTCTTGAGTTTAATCCTCCACATTATCCAAGTGATATGCTATAGTAGCACCTAATAAAAAAGGGCTTGAAGTTACTTTCAATGGTACTCTGCAATGTCTATAGATCACTAAGTTATTTGGATCGCCATCTTTATACCACAAGAACCTGAAATAATCTCTATCTTGTGGATTCAAATTTATCTGCAAAAAGGCTTGACGTATATCAGCTGTTACTCCTTATCTTTTCAATCGAAATCATAAAAGTATGAAGGTATCAGTTCTAACAGATTGG